TCCGTCACTTTCCGTCACTTTCCGTCACTTTCCTTTCCTTTCTGTCACTTTCCTTTCCGTCATTTTCCTTTCCGTCACTTTCCTTTCCTTTCCGTCACTTTCCTTTCCTTTCCATCACTTTCTTTTCCGTCACTTTCCTTTCCTTTCCTTGTCACCTCACGAGTGCGAAGAGCTGTAAAGTTTGTACAGTTTTTGGAAAAGGAACAGCCATTTTTCTGCCCTTTCCTAGAGACATTTTTTTCTCCCGAAAGTCCAACTCCGGACAAGTGCTTACATAAATGCTTAATGTTACTTACGTGAATACTGGATTACTTGCATAATTTATATTAAGGCCATATATAATCTATGCTAAACTGTAGGTTTATTCAGTGTGTACCATGGTGCAAGGTCAATAGTTTGACAAAGACAATGGAGGACTCTTAAAATGTGTGAAGAAAAGCTAACAAATGAAGCAGAGAAAGTAAGCTTTTAAAAATAACATTTCAGTCCTTGTAAAAGATCAGTACCATGTAAATGTGTTTGTCATTTTAATATTTTTGCAGATCTGTACACTGCAAAAAGACACGTTTTTACAATAGTTTTAAGGCTTTTTTCTACATTTCATTAATGCACTGTGAAAATGTGTGTCATTGTGTAAAATATCATTAGATTATAGTTCTCTGTCTTTTGTAGGTAGCTATTTTGAAAGTACTGCCAGAAACACACAGCACTCCCACAAATTGCCTTTTTTAAACTAAAGAACAGCTTTACAGATTCCCTTGACACCTATTAAGTATGAGCTAATACTGCCTCCATGCCACCTACACACCATCTCAGCATCCATTCCATAGTTTTGAATGTCTGTACTTCTACATCCTACACCTCTTCTGTAAAATAAAAAAAAAAAAAAAAAAGGGAAAAAAAAAAAAAAAAAAAGAAGAAAGAGAAAAAGAACAGCTCCCTCCCATCCTTTCTCTTTCCTCCCAGGAAAAAAAGAGAAGGCCTGTAGCAGTAATTGAAGCTTTGGTAGTCATCAATGACAATTTTACTTAATCTTTAAAAAATGTGTCATTTTGAAAAATAACATTTAAAACCCTAATGCTTTTCTAATTAAAATAACTATGACTGTAATTCACAGATGGTTTACTTTTACAGGAGTCTGAATGACATTAAAATTTCAGACTCAGATGAGAGCACTTTGTAGTCCAGAAAGTATTGAAAAGTGAGTGCTTTAGTGGAAGAACATTTTAACCTTTTTTTCCCCTAGGCAAGCAGGAAACATTGTGTGATTAGAGAAAAGACCAGAATGAAGACAGGTGGCAGCCTTAAAAACTGTTTTGATATCTGGCACATGAAATTCCAACATTTTTCAGCATTGTTGCTTTCACTGAACACCAGAACTGTACAGAGGGCAGTGAGACTATCTTGTTCTCCATCAAGTTTAGAGGGTATCAGATTTAATTCAAAGACTGAGCAACACAGATCTCCAGCCACACTAGCGTAATCAAATGTGTTATAGCAGTTTTTTCTATACAAGCTTCTGTCTAGAGCTCTGCTCTCAGTAGACCTGGCATATGATGTAAAATCTATAAATAGCTTTTATCTGAATGTAAAAATGAATTTGTATTGACATTTTGTATTTCTTCATTCACTTAAAAATTACAGCAGGCTTCTACTAATGAAGTTCATAGCATAACTGATGCTACAATAGCTCCATTTATGTTGTTCCTGAGGTGCAGGACTAGAGAAAAGAGCACTAATGCTTTGCATGTCCCTAGCTAGCTTTGTGACTCTACAATGCCAGACACTTGTAGCTAAACTAACCATAAGCTTGAGGAATTGTTTGACTGTGATTTTGTGACTGCAGACTGCAAAATAAATTGCAACTCAATGTTTAGTTAAGTTACACATTTGAAATATAGCCTAGATGTGTCCAATGTGTTAATTAAGAGACTAATCAAGAATAAGGTTGTTAATTTTACCACGGCCATTGCTTTTTTAAGGTTTTGAAATTTAACTTTTCATCCCCTTTTCTACTGTCAGAGTACCATAATATTGCCCTAGTAGGCAGGAATGTTTTAGAGACTTCCAGTGAGGAAATAAGGGGAGAAACAGGCATTTCG